ATCAGTCATATGGCTGTGGAAAAGACTGTGGATCAGTTACGAAAAAATTATTGGTTTCCGAAATTAAGGAAGAGGGTGAAAAACTTTATAATAAATTGTCTAAAGTGTATAATTGTTGGTAATAGATTAACCAATACTGTCACATCTCTAATAAATATCTTTTTGCACATCTCTAGTGATGACTTTGAATAAACCTTTTATTAACTCTCTTGCTTTTTTAACCTCAAAAGACTCGCACGTGTTTTATTAATTTCTTCATCCCATCAGGTTATGGGCACCTCGCTTTACTAAAAAGGAGCATCCTGATCCTTAGACTAAGTGTCTACTAGCATTTGTTGCGATATAGGTATAAAAATAAAAAAAACAAAGGTTATTTCCAGCTTTGTTGCGATATAGGAAAATCATTTGTTTTTTTACACGATGGCGAGAATTCTGAGGGATTTCACCATTGAAAAGCTTACTGGAGCAGAGAATTACCATGATTGGTCTTTCGCCATGGAAAATTTGTTAGAATCCAAAGGGCTTACCAAATGCATTTTAAGGAATACAGATACCTCAACTTCTCTTGAGAAAGACGAAGCCAAGCTTAGCGAGGCAAAAGCTACACTAGTGCTATCGGTGGAAAAGTCCATGTACGCACATATTCGATCTTGTAGAACCGCGCTAGAAATGTGGGATAAACTTAAGAAACTATTCGAAGATAGTGGATTTTTACGGACGGTCAGTCTTTTAATCAAGTTTGTTTCGGTGAAGTTCGACAATTGTCAATCCATGCAATCATACATTGAAACTATCACTTCCCTTTACCATAAATTAAACAGCGCAGGATGGGAGGTTGACGATCGTTGGTTAGCTGGTATTTACTGTCTCGGCTTACCAGAGCAGTTCATGCCACTTTTAATGAGTTTCGAGGGCAGGCAATCATACCCGTCATCCGAAGAAGTTAAAACAAAATTGTTTGATTTAGAGGTTAAGCCTTCTCCTGTGACAGACAATGCCTTTTTATCAAAAACCAAACCTAAGCAATTTAAAAAGCATGCATGAGGAATCAAATGTTATTCCTGTGGTGGCAAAAATCACAAAGCCAATGATTGTACTGCAAAGTCGAAAGAAAAGCCAA